AGGCGTCGAACTTGGCGGGGCCATAGGTGAGAGCACGCTGCACCTTGGGCCACTGGCGGCCCCGCGCGTGGGCCATCTCCTTCCGTCTCTCGGGCTGGCCCCAGGCCTCGCGTAGCCATGCCCGAAGAGGGGCGAGCTTGAGCTGCTCGGCGCCGTCCGTCCTCGGCGCGATCGCCCAGCCCAACGTGCCCGAACGAAAGGTTCCAGCCCCCGCGCGCACAGCAGCTGTCTTGGCCATGAGGAACTTGAGGACGGCAGGAGGGGTGCCAGCGCAGGTCGCCCCATATGCAACTGACGCTTTGAGGCCTTGCTGCACCACAGGGCGTACCCTCACCCCTCGTCGCTTGAGGGCCGCCGCCTTGTGCCAGCGGCCTCGGGCAGTCTTGACCCGTCTGGCTCTGGTGGCCTTCTTCCGAGGGCCCTGGGGTTGGTAGTCCACGCCCAACCAGCGCTCGCTCTCGCCGTGCTGCAGGCCGATGTCCGCCATGGGCTGTGCCAGCTCCTGTGCCAAGGAGCCGTCGCTGGAGACGAACTTGGACTTGCCTCCCTCACCCTTCGAGACCTTGAGCTGCAGCAGCGACTCCAAGAGGCGGATGAGGGTGCGGGCCAGGTCGGGGAAGATCACCTTCAGCTGTGTGCTCCTGCCCACCATCCGCAGGGCTAGGTCGTCAACAAACTTCGTGATCTCCAGCTTGGCCCCTGGCCATCGGGCCACCACGCCCAGGATCGGATACAGCACAATCTTCAGGAAGCGATTGGCATACTTCGACCCAGCGGGCAACCCCACGTAGGTGCAAATGGCGTCGGCGACGGCCTGGCCCTTTCGGACCGCCCGAGGGAAAGCGTACGACTCCAGAGAAAGGGCCAATACACTCATGGGTGCTTGCTGCACCATGCCGAGAATCCAAATCAAATTGAGCGCTACATATTCATACGCCTTCTCCAAATCCATCAAGGCGGTGAGGGACGCGAAGCAGGTACCTTCCAGGGCCTCGTCGTCCAGCATCGCTCTCCAAACAGCATGCTCACTGCTGCGCCCTGGTGATGCCCAGTCGTAGGGCCTCACGTGTGCCCGCTCCCACCGCCGAATCAAGGGATCACGAACAGCCTCCCAGATGCGCACTGGCGTGGGAAACAGGGTGATGGGCCTGCCGCCGCCGTCTTCCTTGGCGACCAGGAAAAGTATGGGCATGCGTATGGCCGTGGGCCATGAGCAGAGCCGCTCGCACAGCATGAGGATGTCCCCGAGGCTGGTCAAGGCCTCGTCACTGAGCCAGGCCAGGTGCCCGAAGTGCCAGCCGTCAAGCCCGAGCCCCGTCTTCCACTTGTAACTACGGCAGATTGCGCGCACCTGCATCGCGTCGATGTTGGGCAGCTCCTGCGCGTGGGCCATCCGTCGGGCCTGGACCTGAGCGTCCTGCCACAACTTGGTGTAGTCACCTGACCCAGCGCGCCAAATGCTGGCCCACTCCTGCGCCTCCTGATTGACCGCGAGCTGCGGGTCCGCTGGCAACTTCAGCTTCTTGGCCGACGAGATGGGCTCCTTCCACGCCTGCTCCCAGTGGCAAATGCGGTGCAGGTAGCCCCCTGAGCCTGGGAACTTTGCGCCCAGACGCTCGTAGAACCTTTTTGAGCGCTGCCGCATGAGGTGTTGCTCCCTGGTCTGGGCCCGCACCTTGGCGAACTGCTGCAGCGCGAAGATGGCCTGTGCGCCGATGAAGTGAGGCTCCACGTCGGCGAGGGTGCGCAGCGCTGGTAGGAACCCCGCGCTCCAGGGCTCCAGCTGGTCCCAGTGGTGCCTCGCCTGGAGCAGCTTCCTCCAGGCCCGTCTGAGCTGGCCTGTGACCTCCTCGTTGTAGGATCGAGGAGGCCCTCCTCCCGAGGTGGTAGCCTGGCCTGCTGGGGCCTCCGACTTGGCCTGGGGCACCGCTTGGCCCCGCAGGACGCAGCAGGCGAGTTGGCCAATCCAGGCCAGTTCCCCCGCGGCCCAACGCCAGGCCCTGGCAGGACCTCGATCAGCCACGGGGCTGTCATGCTTCGGAAGAAGCTGTCTCTGCACCACCTCGGGAGTCAAGCCTCGGCCTTCATACATGCGCGCCTCCGACTCCGCCCAGCCGAACAGAGACCGAAGCTCGGCCTCAGCTGCAGAGCAGAACCCCCTCCAGCACTGGTCCAGGTGCTGCTGGGAGCCGTGGGGCAGGTCGATCTTGGGGTAGCCCTGCGGGATCTCGGGCTGCCTGACAGGTGGCGGCCTGGTGATGGGGTGCTGCTTGGGGCCCTTGAGCACCTGGATCTGGTACGCGTGCCAGGGCTTGTCGGCGCGGATCCAAGTCGGCCTGTGTGGCCTGTAGGGCATGTTCTCGAAGGACCTCACTGGGCTAAAGATCACTGCCAGCCTCGCATCCACCCAGAAGAAGTCGATGACCCGATCCTTGAATTCCTCCACGCCCCGCTTTACCACCTTGGACCTGCATGTGCCTCCTTCCCCTTGCCAGGCCAGAACTTGGCCCTTGGCCTCCTGGTTCCAGGGGCTGTCGAGGATGGCGTGCGGCTCGTTGTTGAAGTCACCCATGGCCACCCAGGGGATCCTCATCTGGCAGACCCAATGCACGATGGTGTCCAACAGGGCCGCGTTTAGGGCCCAGGTGACAGGCTTGCCCGTGAACAAGTACACCGAGAAAAGAGCCACCCATCCAATGCCCTCGACCTCGGTCATGCCCAAGCACAGCCTTCCTGCGGCGCCCGCGGGGGAGATGCCCCACGACACCCGGCCTGGCGCCAGGCTGAGGCTCATGCAGCGCGGTGTGATCAGCGCCACACCCGCGGAGTAGCCGCCCTCTGCCGTGCGCACGGCAGGCGCACCCACAACGCGCCAGCCCCGTCGCTCTTGCGCCGCTGCAGTGACGTGGAACCACTCGGCGGGCTTCGCGTGCTCCTGCACCGCTATGACGGGGACGCCGCCGCTCTTGATGAGCTGGTCGATCTCCTCTTCCATGAACTCTTCGACGCGAGCCAAGGAGAGATTGGCGTTGAAGGTGGCGGCGATGACGTGTCGGTCCCCTCGCCGCGTGCGTCGGCGCCTCTGAGGCTGCCCCGCTGGGTCATCCCCAACGTGCTGCGACCTGCCCCCGAGGTAGGTGGACTGAAAAGTGTTGGGCACGACGGGCGGTGGCTGCCTGCCCATGGCCGCGGGCGCGCAGTAGCCGTCGCCCTGGCCAGCGTACGCGTCCCCGCCGCCCTCAGAGAAGCCACCCCCGTGCAGCTCCTCGTCGTAGAGGCCCTCACCCGTCCAGAACTGGCCGTCCCCGTAGGTGGTCCAGTCGATCAAGGGCGGGCCCGCTGGCCCATCAAAGCGACGCCTGGGGAAGCGCCTCCTCGCCGTGGTGGTCGTAGAAGGAACCCAGCACCGCCCGCTTGGCGGCTCGCTCCTCCTCGGGCAGCCCGCTGGGGTACTGGTCCACCAGCTCGTCTCGCTTGCGCTTCTGCTCCTCCACTGCGTCGCCGCCGCCATCGGCCGAGGCCTCAGCAGCAGGCCCCCCTGGGGGCGCGGCCGCCGCCGCTGCGCCAGGCCCCCCAGTAGGCGCGGCGGCCGCAGCAGCGGGAGCCCCTGAGGCCTGAGGGAGCTCCTTGACCAGCTTGAGCAAGCTCTGGAGGGACTCCACGAGTGGCTTGGGCACCGAGTCGCCGTCGCCCTCGGTGTCCCCCACCAACTTCTCCAGGTTTGCCACGAGCTGGCTGATGACCGCCTGCCCGCAATGTGGGCTACCGCCGAGAGGACCCGCTGCCCCCACTGGGGCCTGCTCCTCCGCCACGACTCGCCTGGCCAATTGAGCCTTTTCCTCCTGCAGCTGCTCCAACTCCTTGCTGGCCGCCTCCTGCATGCGCTGTGCCTCCGCCAGGCGCTGCTGCAGCTCGGGCACGACCTCGTCGCGCTGGCGTGCGAGCTTGCGCTGCGCGGCGGCCATCTTGCCCTCGAGTGCCTGCAGCTGCAGGTGCAAAGGCTTGCCTGCCCGCTTCTGGGCGATGAGGTTCGCCCTCTCCGCCCGCTTGGCCTCGATGATGGAGCCGAGACTGGGGTCGGCGAGGGACTCCAGCGTGCCGATCGACTTGTCGAGCACCGCGATGGGGTCGGGCTGCTCGGCTGCCTTGGACTTGAGCAGGTCAGTGCCAGCCCCGAAGTAGCCCCAAGCAGCGCCAGCAGTGCCGCGAGGAGCGGGGCCAGCCACGCCCTTGTCCTTGCCCTTGTTCTCCTTGCCCTTGCCCTTGGCCTTGCCCCCAGCTGGGGGGTCGGCCCTCTGCCACGGTCGCCGCACCGGTGAGGAGCGGGACGCACGCGTGATGGCCACCTGGATGTGCTTCGGCGCGGGGGCGAAGCACTGGCGGCACTGCATCTTGGTCGCGAAGTTACCTCCAGTGCCACAGTGTCCACACGTCCAGGGCTCGGCCCCCTGGGGCGAAGAAAGAAACTGATGCGACGCATCCTTCCACGGTGCCATCAAACACGCTGTGACTGGCAAAGAGGACGAGCTGGGCAGTTGGGTACCGAAATGTGCCCTGACTGGTGATGTCAGGGGGAAAGCTGCTGGGGCCGTGTGCGCCTCTTGGGCGCCCCCCAATGCCAGAATGTCTCCGTCCGCTGCTGACGCCTGGGCCACGCTACGGACTTGAGCCAAAATGGCTACGGCCTGCTCCTCCTCCTCCTTTTCCTCCTCCTCCTCCTCCTCCCACCCTCCTCCTCCTCCTCCTCCTGCTCCTCCTCCTCCTCGTCCTCCTCCTCCTCCTCCTCCTCCTCATCTTGGCGGTAGTGCAACAAGCAAGAGTGCATAGATGCACACGACCTCGGGCCACGTCGTGACAGCCCCATCTGCCGCTTCCGGCCAGTTGAGGCAGTTGTCGTGGGTGATGCGGTTGGGTGGTTGCTTCTTCGTCACTGATTGGTTGGACGCAGTATTCGCACATCATGGCGCCACTGCGTCACTGGAGGTGCCCAACTTTTTACCGTCAACCACTGGACCTGCAAGCTACCCGACATAACACGCACAATCGCATACACGTAAGCCCTCAATGGGGCCGACAGATCCCTGGCAAAGCATTCTGGCTCGTGATTGCAAGCGTGCGTCTCCTTTCGCGCGCACGCGACTCTAAGCCCATACGGTCGTCATGTTGGTGCACAAGGCGATGAGCTCTGCGTCTGCTCGCCGCCTCGGCCGCGCAGCCACCAGGCGTCGCCTCCTCTTCTGCAGCGAGAGCGAGGCCAGCGCTGTGGGGCACTCTGGCAGTGATGCCGAGAAGAAGCGATTGCGGATCATGGTGGCCGTCGGTGGAAATGCGTTGATTCGCCGCGGCGAGCGATTGACTATAGAAAACCAGCTCAAGGCCGCTCGATGTGATGCTGCGCCGACGATCAAGGGCCTCATGGAGGATCACGAGGTTGTGCTGACACATGGGAACGGTCCACAAGTGGGCGAATTGGCGCTCGAGCGATCGGCTGCTACTTTCGATGTGCTCGGTGCCGAGTCGCAGGGGCAGATCGGATACATCTTCAGCCAAGCTTTCGCAAGCATCAACGTGGTAGCCGTGCCCATGCTGACTCAGGTCATCGTCGACCCCGCGGACCCGGCCTTCTCGAATCCCACGAAGTTTGTCGGACCCGTGTACGGCGCTAAGGAAGCTGAGGCGTTGAGGCAGGCATTGGGATGGACCGTGAAGCAAGATGGGGAATACTACCGCCGCGTAGTGCCATCGCCGCCCCCGCTAGAGATACTGCAAATCGATGCTGTGCGGACGTTGCTGAAGACTCAGACGCCAACTGGGCCGCTGCCAATAGTGTGTGGTGGTGGGGGCGTGCCCGTGACGCGCATGGGCAGCGCGTTTGCAAACATACCTTCAGGTGCTTTTGAGGGGTTGGAAGCAGTCATCGACAAAGACCACTGCGCTTCCTTGGCATCCCTTCAGCTCGAAGCCGACGCCCTCATCATCCTGACCGATGGCGGCGGCATCTGGGAGAATTTCGGAAAGCCGCATGCGCGCGAGATGAAGATGGCATCGGCCTCGTACCTCAGAAGCGTGCAAGCGGGTGCGCAGTTTCCTGGCTCCATGGGCCCGAAGATCGAGGCCGCCGTGTCGTTTGTGGAGCAGTCGCCCAAGCCAGACGCCTGGGCTGCCCTCGGGGACCTGAAGGACGCCCAGGAGATGTTCGGGAACACTGAGGGCACCATGATCAAGAAGGAGGTCCCCGGCGACGTCGTCTGGCACGAGCCGAACCGGAAGCGGGAGGCCAGGGGGACACAGAAGCCGAGCCGCGTGCCCAGGGACCCGTGAGCGCACCCACGCGGGAGACCGGCAGGGGTGGGCAGAGGAGAGCGCAGACGGGCGAGCGTTGGTAAGGTTCCGGGCTGCGCACAGGCAGCCCCCCCAGGAAGTCCCGGCGGGCCTGAACAGGCTCCCGAGTATCGGGGGCGGAAAAGAGGGGGGTCAGGGGCAACGATAGGGGGGGGATAGGCATACAGGAGGATGCATCGACCACCAATCGCCCATTGCCGATAGGGGCCTAGCCCCCACCTGCCCAGGGAGGTGCGGATTCACCATCGGGGGCATATCGCCGATCTATCGGCGATGTATCGCCGATTCCAGGTGGATGCATCCCCCCCTACGCCATTCCCCCCGTATCATTGCCCCCCAGGGGGGTGATGACTAGGGGGGGTGGATATCACGGCGGGGGCCATGATATTTCCGCAGATTTTCTGGCGTCTCTTCTTATTTCATTACGTCCCTGGCCCCCCCACTGGGCCGCGCACATGCCGCCGGTCATGATTTGCACCCCACCCCGCTTTGACGCTCCCCTCTTTGCCGCTCCCGAGCGTAGTCCGGGGCGGTCTCCTCGCCCTGGCGTTAAGTCGGGCACGTCCCTCTACGGGAGGAATCTCCAAAAAGAGTCAAAAACACGGTATGGGAACCATCTCTGGACTATTTTGGAATATGTTTTGATTATTTGTTATGTATCGTCCAAGATCCGCCTGTCGGGGGGACGTGCCCGACCTCACCCTGGCGCCGACTCCGGCAGTGCGCCGCCTCCGGCGGCGCCTTCTGGTACGCTCCGCGCCCCAGGGCTTGGGCGTGCGCAGCCTGAGGCGTTACCATTAAGTCGGGCGTGTCCCTCTGCAGGGGGCAGATTCGAAAATTGGGGAACAAATATGGGGACGACTTTGTCGATTGTTTTTGCAACATTTTGGGGTACTGAAAATGTTGTGCCAAAGCATTGCCTGTAGGAGGACATGCCCGACCTAACGTTACCACCGAACGACTCGCACACATGAGAAGAACGAGTGAAAACCAAAGGAGTACAGCTTTCGATGCGATCCTCCTCTGATCGTCCTTCTGCGCCCCCCCCCCCCAATGTGTTCACACGCCGGAAATGTTATTTGACAGGCGTTCGGGCCTTGGCCATGTTGGTGGAGCCATCTTGTTGTCATGCGCCAGGCCCAGATCTCACAGATCTGAAGTGGTGTGCTCGTGCTCATTTCGGCAACGTGTACATCCTTTGGCGCGAAGTGATTGCACAATCTACAAATCGCACAGTGCGCAATCCCAATTTCAATGATACCGCCATCTTTGCACTACTGGATGTTGTGAGCGGCCGATGTGGAGCATCGGTCCCAAGTTGCCACGTGGCTGGAGCAGCTGATTAAAATCCAGGCCCGATGCCATTGTACAGCCCTAGAACGGAGTTCGCTACACGCATCCAAATTTCCAAAATCGGTGGGTGTGCGAACGTACAGCTTCGACACGCATGTGGTCGCACACCCAGGCCCGTCTAGAGCCTTTTGGGGGTTCTCCTTGGGGGCCCTCTCGGGCTCTTTGAGGTCCCTCGCAGGGCCTAGTGGGTCCATGTTGACTCTCCTTGGGTCGTCGTGGGCCCGTTCTGGAGATTCTGACAGCCCCCTGGGAGAGGAGAGGGACAGAAGACAGCGGAGAGGGAGAGGCAGAGGTGAAGCGGCTATAGAGAGGGGAGGAGGAGGAGGAGGAGGAGGAGGAGGAGGAGGAGGAGGAGGAGAGAGGAGGGAGGAGGAGGAGGGAGGAGGAGGAGGAGGGAGGAGAGAGGAGGGATGGAGGGAGGGGGAGGGGAGGAGGGAGGAGGGAGGGAGGAGGAGGGTGGAGGGGGGGGAGGAGGCCGAGGAGAGGGAGGGCAGGAGGGGAGGGAGGAGGAGGGAGGAGGGAGACGAGGGAGGAGGGAGAGGAGGGAGGAGGAGGAGGTGGGAGGGGGGGGGGGGAGGAGGCAGGGAGGAGGGAGGGAGGAGGGAGGGAGCACGAAGGTCCGCCCCTTCGGGCTCACGTGGTGCCCGCGGGGGTGCTCGGGCCGCTTTTTGGGGCGCCTCGCGGCCGCTCGACGGGGAGCCCCCAGACAGCCGACGGCCCGCTGCTTTCGCCAGACCTTCGGGGGCCCAGGTTTCGAAGTGAGGGAGGAGGACAGGGAGGGAGAGAGGAGGAGAGGAGGGGGGGGCGGGAGGGAGGGAGGGAGGAGGAGGAGAAGGAGGAGGGAGGAGGGGGGTCCCTCCTCCTCCTCTTCCTCCTCCTCCTCCTCCTCTTCCTCCTCCTCCTCCCTCTTACCCTCCCTCCGACTGATTTTCCTTCCTCTCCTCCTCCCCTCCTCTCCTCCCAATCCTTTACTGGTGGCCAGCTTTCCATCCTGGGTGATTGTTCGGCGGTCCCGGGGCCCAGAATCGGCGCTTCTTTTCCTCCCAAATTGTGCCTTTTTATACAACAGGTTGATGCCGAAGACGCCTACGGCGAACCACCGCCGCCCTCTGCCTTCTTGGACACGCCTGTGTGGCCGTACGTTGGGCGGCATTCTTGGCGAGCCATTGGACTACGTGTTCCTCCAGCCGTTTGGGAAACCCTAGGGAGGACACTTGATGGGAGGACGAGGAGGGAGGAGGAGAGAAAGAGAAAGAGGAGGAGGAGGAGGACGAGGACAAGGACGAGGACGATGGAAAATGAAGCTGTGTGGGGCCTCTTGGTTCCTCTTGAGGCCTCTTGGGGGCGTCTGGTGGGCCTTGGGGGGGCCTCTTGGGGGCCTCGTGGGGCCCTCTGGGGGGCCTGTGGGGAGCCCATTGAAGACATCTTGGCCTTCGGAGGCCATCTTCGGAGCCCCTCTGGGCCGTCTTGGGCCCCTCTTTGGGCGCTTTAGGGCCGTCTGGGAGCTCTTTGAGCGCCATTGGGACCTCTTGGAGTAGTTTTGGGACCCTCTTTGGGGCCAGTCTGGGGACCTCTTGAAGCAGTCTTGGGGGCCTCTTGTCTGGGCCGGCTTGGGGACCTCTTGGGCACCTACGAGGCCGTCTTAGAGCGATCTTCGGGGCGTCTTGGAGGCCACCGTGAGGCCGTCTCAGATGAGAAGACCGACGGGAGACACCTCGGGTGGCCGGCCGGACCGGCCCAGACCCACGGGAGTAGCTCAAAAAAGGCCAAGACGGCAAAACAGTTGGCATGCTGAGCACCCTTGTGGCAAGCACAGGGGGCGGCGGATATGATGCGAGGCGTTCCACAAAGGGCCTCGCCTTCGAGGATCGATGGAGTTGCCATCGCTTCCTCGGCGGAAGGCTGGCGGAAGGCCGGCGGAAGGCGGCGGAAGCAGAGCGAGGCGGCCTCCGCCGGCGGAGCGTGGCGGAAGCAGGTGTCGACCTCCCAAGAGATGGCAACCTTTATGGGTTCAGGGTTACTCCAGATTTCTTAATAAAAGGGAGGGGGTCCCAACCCTCCCAGACGAGAAGTTTTAGAGCCCCCCAGACCATCCATGAAAGGGCGGCCCTTTGCCCAGACCCCCCCGAACCCTCCAAGACAGCTCAAATCAGACCCCCCCCCAAATGTGACCCCCCGCCTTTATTATGGAATACGGAGTACCCGAGTCCGCTAGATTCGGCTAGACGTAAGAGTGACCTTTCGCCGGAGTGACCCTTTGTGCGGGCACAGACGGGTCCCCAGATGGCTGAAAACGAAGCAGTGG